GGAAGCAAGGGAAGTGCATATTGATATTATAATTTAAAATAAATAAGAATGAGGTTTCTCATATTTCTTTCATTCCTTCCAATGCTTTTCTTATAACTTTGCAAATTATAACCTTAAATGTGAGAATGCTGACTTCATATTATAGGAGTTAACACTCTCAAGAGAATTCTTATTCAAAAATGGAGTTTAAAAAAAACTACCTTATTTCTAGTCTGAGGCTTTCGAATTTCATAAAATGACAATCATACACACACATACACACACAAATTAACACCCATCACAAGCATTTTAAAGAGAAGTGATGTGCTACAACATAGAACTTGGTAAGAGAAGACTGCTAATAACTAGCTATGTGATCTTGGATAAACTTGTTAGCTTACATTGGACAAGATGGTAGTTTAATAGCTAGCACACTTATGTCATTTTCTAAATTAAAGAAAAGCACATAATCTTGCAGATTAGATTAAGGTATTTGTTATGGTGCTTATAAAATCACAACACACTCACACATTTGGCATTGCATTGATATATAATTTCAGTTCAAGGGCATTTGAAAACCTTCCATTTTGGATCCGTTCTATGTGAAGGAATGTCTCAGCCTGATGAAATTCAGCAGAGTGCCCATAATTCTGGGAATTGAGGGGAGAGGGGAGGGCCTGGGAAGCTCTCCTAGATGTGTCCCTTTCAGGGATCCTCAGGAAAATGCTCATTCATGTGGGTTTCTGAGGTTTCTAATAGGCACCCCTCCCCCCCCTTTTTAAACCTTACTTGCTTCTTTCTTTTGAGAGCATTGAAACTACTTAGTGCAAAAATAGGACTTAGAAAAAGAAAAATTAGGGCTGGAGATAGAGCTCAGTTGGTAGAGTACTTGCATTGCATGCACAAGGCCCTGGGTTCAATCCTCAGTACTCCCCCAACACACACACACACACCCAAAAAAAAAGAAGAAAAAGAAGAATTAATATTTACTTACTCACTGGACTTCTGAATTTGGAGAGAAATAAAAGACTAGAAGAGCTTTATCTTTGTAAGTCTGTAGACTTGAAAAAATTTCCTAACTTTTGTGAGTTTTAAAGGGAGGATGTCGTCTATAAACTTCACACACAGAATCCAGCATTTCACCAGAGTTTAAGTAAGGAATGTTGTTCTGACAAATAAACAAATCATTTTGAGAGAAGTAAGCATTCTTGTACCTTGATCAAGTCAGTTCCTAAGTTCCCCAGCTCTATAACTCCAGAAGTTCTAAGAAGGTATGTTTTATCTTTTGATAATGAAACCAAGATAGTAATAATAGAACATTACCAAAACCCTAAGACATCACAGCTACAAGCTTAGAAAGGTAAAAAAATCAACTAAAAACATAGTAAAGACATGAAGTAAACCAATGGTGATAATATTTAAGAATATGTTGAAGTAGGAATGTAGTTGTAGTAAGAGGTTGTTTGGCTATTGTTTCGGGTGTTTGAAATGTCCACAAAAGCAGTTCAACTAGATTAGAAACTGTATTTTGATAAGAGGCCCAGAATAGCCAGAGCAACCTTAGCAAGAAAAGTATTGCAGGGGCATCACAATACGAGACCTTAGTTTACACCACAGAGCTATAGTAACAAACGTGGCATAGTATTGGCACCAAAACAGACATGAAGACCAAAGGAACAGAATAGAAGACACAGAGACAAACCCACATGAATACAGTTTTCTCATACTAGACAAAGGTTCCATAAATACACATTGGAGAAAAGATAGCTTCTTCAACAAATGATGCTCGGAAAACTGGACATCCATATATAGCAGAATGAAGCTGAACCCTCATCTCTCACCCTGAACCAAACTCAGATGAAAGTGGATCAAAGACCGAGGCATGAGACCAGAGACCCTGCACTTACTAGAAGATAAAGTAGGCCCAACTCTCCATCATGTCAGGTTAGGAACTGACTTCCTCAACAAGACTCCTAAAGTGCAAGAAGTAAAATCAAGAATCAGTAAATGGGATGGTATCAAACTAAAAATCTTCTTCACTGAAAAGGAAACAATCAAGAACATGAAGAGAGATCCTACATAACAGGAGAAAATCTTTGCCACCTGTACCTCAGATAGAACATTAATATTCAGGATATACAAACAACTCAAAAAACTTAACACCAAAAATCAAATAACCCAATCAATAAATGGGCAATAGAACAGAACAGGCACTTCACAGAAGAAGAAATATGAATGGTCTACAAATACATGAAAATAATGCACAACATCTCTAGCAATCAGAGAAATGCAAATTAAAACTACACTGAGATTTCAGCGCACTCCAGTCAGAATGGCAATTATCAAAAATACATGGGGCTGGGATTGTGGCTCAGCTGTAGAGTGCTCATCTAGCACATGGGAAGCCCTGTGCTCAATCATCAGCACCACATAAAAATAAATAAACAAAGGTATTGGGTCTAACTACTTCTAAAAAATAAATATTAAAAAAAAATTACAAAAAAAAATAGATGTTGGTGAGGATGTCAGGGGAAAGGTACACTCATACATTGCTGGTGGGACTCCAAATTGGTGCAACCTTTCTGGAAAGCAGGCAGTATGGAGATTCCTCAAAAAACTTGGAATGGAGCCACCATTTGACCCAGTTATCTCAATTCTCAGTATATACCCAAAAGACTTTAAACTAGCATACTACAGTGACACAGCCACATCAATGTATATAGCAGCTCAATTCACAATAGCTAAGCTATGAAAAACACCTATATGTCCTTCAACAAATGAATGGATAAATAAAATGTATATATACAAATGGAATATTACTCAGTGATAAAAAAGAATGAAATTATGGTATTTGCTGGTAAATGGATTGATCTGGAGATTATCATGCTAAGTGAAATAAGCCAATCCCCCAAATCCAAAGGCCTAATATTCTCCCTGATAAGTGGATACAAACACACAATAAGGAGGTTCGGGGAGGGAAGAATAGAAGTTCACTGGATTAGACAAAGGGGAAGAATAGAAGTTCACTGGATTAGACAAAGGGGAATAAAGGGAAGGGTGGAGGGATGGGAATAGGAAAACAGTAGATGAGTTGGACATAACTTTGCCATGTTCATATATGAACACTCGACCAATGAAACTCCACATCATGTACAACTGCAAGAATGGGATCCTAATGAGAATAAGTTATATTCCATGTATGTATAATATGTCAAAATATACTCTACTGACATGTATATCTAAAAAAAAAACAAATAAAAAATAGAAACTGTGGTTTTAATTGGTTAAGAAAACATAATTTGGGCCTGGGGATGTGGCTCAAGTGGTAGTGAGCCTGGCATGTGCGGGGCGCTGGGTTCAATCCTCAGCACCACATAAAAATAAAATAAAGATGTTGTGTCCACCGAAAACTAAAAAATAAATATTAAAAAACTCTCTCTCTCTCTTTCTCTCTCTCTCTCAAAAAAAGAAAATAAAAAGAAAACATAATTTAATTTTTAGATAGTCTTATAAAATATGAATGGCAGTGTGTTTTCAGTTAAACAGCCATATTTTAATCTCATAGTTTACGTCTCATTCTGGTGGTTGGCAGAGTATTGCATCTATGATGCTCAATTGATATCTTGCATTGAATTAAATGAAAGAATTTCAATTCTGGACTCTAAAGTCTACCCATATGGCTCAAAGTGACCTATTTAGGAATTGTGTGACTTGGCCACATTACTCAGGATCTTAGCAAAGGCTGGAAGGATAAAATGAAGAGCATATGTGAAGGTCTGAATCCAGTTCCTGAAATATAGTAAGCACATAATGAAGGGCAGATATTATTATTGTCATCCAAAGACAAGTAACTCATTTCTCCCTGGTTTACACATAAAAGTGTTCAAAAGTCCATACTGGACACAGAGTTCCAAGCAAATAGATGTCTAAGCTTTAATTTCATAAATTGATACCGAGATTTGGGGTCTGTGTGATGTAGCCTCTTTTCCATTGGCAGGAATGGAGGGACAGATAAGTTCCAGCATAGTACTGGGCAGAGTCAGAGCCCCAGACATTAAAAGAATAAAAAAAAAATGAGTTAATTTTCTCAATCAGGCTCACATTGGAAGCATGCCATTTCTCTTTCTTCTTAACCATGACCCTATGAAGAACAAAAAGTTACAATAAATGTCCGGTTTCTGACAATGAGTGGTTACGCATCATCGATTCTCAACTATTTGTTCCTCCATTTATTCTTGCAGTAAACATTTTCAGTTCATGTTGAGCATATGACCTACCCTGAGGTGAAGGGAGGTAAGAAGGCTGTAAAAGGGACAGCATTTATGAAAACATCCAGAGAATTAACAGTGGCTCTGGCCACTGTTAAGAAATTCCTGCCAGATTCTCAGGGTATCCCTAGAAATGATCAATGACTGATTCTCGCTATGAGCACCAACATGCTCACATGAAGTAACCCTTGAAAGTTCCTGTGTAGTGTAGGACTGTTTAGAGGTGCAATGCCTGGATTGTCAGAGCTGTAACCTGCTCAGTATGGACAGACTGGGTGGTAACTGTAGGCAGGTGAGGTATGGCTGGAGGAGGTGGGTCACTGCGGCTGTGCCCTGGAAGGGTACATGTGCCTTGTGGCCCCATCCCTCCCTCCTTCTCTGTTTCCTGACTCCACCATGAGGTGAGCAACTTTCCTCTGCTGTGCCCTTCATACATGATGCTGTTTCACCTTGGGCCCAGAGCACCACAGTTGGCCATCTGTGGACAGAGGCCTCTGTAACCATAAGCCAAAAATAAATTTTTCCTCCTCTAAGTTGTTCTTGTCAGGTATTGATTTTAGTTACAGCGACAAAGATTAACTAAAACTATTCTCATGCACCTAGGTATATGACAAGACAATAAACTAAAGCCAGTTTCACTAGTTCCAGCAAGTGAGTGGGTTTCCACTAGCTCCCCAGGTGCACCTGGACTGAGGGCCTCACAGATGAAAGCCTGAAATTCTGAACCAGTTCCCCCATATTCTATCTTTACAGACGTATGATGGTGTCAGCTCTGCAAGCAGCCGCCTTGCCAGGGTGTGTGGAAGACAGCAGCCGACTAACCCCATCATCTCTTCGGGGAGCAGCCTCTTTGTGAGATTTCAGTCTGGCCCTTCCAGACAGAGCAGGGGCTTCCAAGCTAAATTCAGGCAAGGCAAGTGCCCTGTGGTTCCCCAAACATGGGAGAAATTTGTTAAGTGGCTTGTTGGTGCTGGAATAAAAGTGAGACCAGTCCTCAGAAACCAATCACAGCCTCCTACTCAACATGCAAAAATTTACATAGAACTAGGAAGCTATGGACTCATAATTTTTCCAACTGCTGGTATTTTTATCCTTGTCTAACTTGTATGATATTGACTTCCCGGGGATGTGCATCTCTTTCAAAACTACTGTGTAATTTCAAAAAGTTTTCAGACTAATATTTAAAGGTACCACTGATTAGAATTTATTCTAGAGTCACTGATTCTTAGTGTTTCCCCCAAGACCTTTTCACCCATTGCCTTTCATCTGGTCCTTTGTACAGAGCAACCTTTTTTTCCAGCTTCAGCCATAGAAGGAACTCAGAGCTGGAGGGAATGATGATTGGCTCCTCCTTGGTGATGCTTTGTATGTGGATGATTTAGATATTTCATTTTAAACTAAGTTTTGTCTGTTTATCCATTACACCCATTTCAGCAGACTTGCTTTTATTTTATACTAAAGGGCCCTAGATAGGGAAAGTTCCTGAATGTAGATCTCCCAGCCATGTATTGTAGACTTTGGAACATGACAGACTGTATTCATGTGTCTCAATGATTTTTTTTTTAAGTTTCTTATTTTTTTTTTAACATTTAATTATTCTTTGAAGTGTTGCTTCAGATTGAAAAGTCCCCACTAGCTCTTATTTGGACTACTATAACAGCCTCCTCAAGGTCACCCGTCCCTCGCCCCATCTTCCTCCAAGGTTACTTGCAAAAGCCTTGCTCCATTCACACCATGGAAGGTTCTAGTTTCTGTCTTGTCTCCACAAGCCTGGAAAATGAAGCCAAAGCTTCTCTCCAGGTGTTAGCCAGAGGTCCTACAACCTGCACTGTTCTTTTTGCTGCATCACACTTGACACCCCGCCACCCGCGAGCAAACACTTCTTTGATGTCTCTGCTCAGACTGCCTCCTCCCTGGACCACTTAGTCCTCCCCCTCCACTAGCCACTGCCTCCTAGGAGACTCCCCTTTTGCTCTCCAGTAACAATACTTTCTCCCTCTTCTGAGCTTCCACAAAACTTTGAGATATTATGCTATTATGCTTAGGAAGTCTGTTCAACCAATATTTTCCTTAACAGAAGAAGTCATCTATGAATAGCTCATCCCTATACTTACAATTTACGAGTGGACAGAGTAAGCGAATCAGGCCAGAGTTTTGTCTGAATGACTCAGACAATCCATAGCCCTTTTAATAAGCTGTTCTGTGCCTCTTCCCAACTTCCTGTAATTGAAGAAGAGCGTTGTAAATGTTAAGTGTGTTCCCATTTTCTGATGGTTTATGTGCAGCTTCCTTGGCAGAAAACTTCCTTGGCATGCATTTCAGAAATAAGGAAAAAAAAAAAAAAGATCATTTATGTTTTTCTTCATCAAATAACGGTTTTATACAGTCAGTAGAAATCAAAAGTGCATGACACATGTGTGTGTTTGTGTTCCCCAGAGTGTGGAGGCCGCATCCTCACTGACTCTTTTGATACTATTTCCTCTCCATTGTTCCCTGCCAAGTATCCAAACAATAAAAACTGCAGCTGGATCATTCAAGCTCAACCTCCGTGTAAGTAACAAAAATGAGAAAGGAAAGGTGTTCGGGGCAGACGTGTCTGTGGGAAGTCAGTCTATGAGTAATGTTCTTATCTGCTTGGTGGTAACAATTGATGGCCTTCCTCCTCTTCTTTTGAAAGTCCCAATTCCTGATATATATAAGAAAAAGCATTTCCTCATCTGATAGGGAAGTAATTTTTACTGATTCATCTTAATGTAAACTTTGTTGTTTGTTTTTTTTTTTTTCAAACTTTCAAGGCCTTAGCAACATTGAGGGGAAAAAATAACAAACCCTATATAACTCTGTTGTATTGACTGGCATGTGAGACTGAGAATAAGCAAACATCGTTGATAGTTTTGACATGTGTGCCTCAAGTATGGTAGAAGCTCAAGACAGTTGCTCTATGAAAAATGATGACTATGAATCATAGACTGGAGAAATACCTCACGGTTCAGGAATGCAATGCCACAAGCTTATAGATCTTCAATCCAAGTGAAAACTGAATATAAACCTGGCCTCTCCTGCAATGTATGTAATTTAAAAATCTCAGCAGGGGCCTGGTAGAAACACTCAACAAGTGCTTTTTTTTTTTTTTTTTTTTTTTTTTTGGAATCTAGAATCTTATTTTTTTACCTGGTAATTGTTGTTCAGGATTATTCTTCACATTTTACTGATTTTACTGGCAGAGAGAAGTAGGAGACTACCCCAGGCAACACAACAAAATGACTACAAAGGGGATGGGGCCATTATGAATCCTGTTGAATGTAAGCCCTGCCCTCGTTTGATGTTTTCAGAAAAAAAAAATAATAATAATAATAATAATAATTATGATTTCAGACACAATGTGGGAAAGTCAATAGCTTCTCTGCTCAGTTCAGGAATTAATGACCTGTGTGAAAACAGGCAAGTCAATTAAACTTATCAGCCCCCAGTACAAAATAATTTACAAAATGGAGTGTTTGATTTAAATATTATCTGACACTTTCCTTAGTGGTGTTAAGAGTTAACAAATTAACAGCATCTCTGTAGATATGCATAAGATGTGGGGGTGGGGTGGGCAGTGACATAATCCTTAGCCAATTGCAGACTGGAGAGGGTAGAGCCCTAACTGAGCATGGAGAAAGAAGCCCCCTGCCTTGAGCTCAGCAGTTTTGTGCCTAAGGATTATTTTCTAATGAGTTGTAAAACATTTAGATGAAAGATCTCAGTGCTTCAAGGACAACAACAGGAAAAGATCCTATTCTGAAGATTAGGGACCCTGGAAGAACAACAAAAGGAAAATGTACCCAGGCACTTGATGTTCTGCAAGTAATTCAAAGCTTTCTTAATAAATAACTCTGAACCTCCAGGGCACTAGCTCTGGCCTGAAAATAAACCTGAGTGTGCTACAGATGCGTTGTGCCAGGGAGAAAATAATGTCTCATTGACAAGTACATGTAAAGATTCAGAGTTCCTGGAATCTGTTCTCCCGAGAAAAACACTGAGAGGAGGAACATGGTAAGGACAGATAACAGTGTGTAATGACTGGAGTTTCCAGCAAGGCAGTCCCAAAGATCCTGGGAGAGCCTATCCAAGAGCCCTGTTATTTACAACTACCAGCATTGCAGATTCTACAGGCACTTTCAAAAACATTCATTGTGTTGATTGTGTTACTCTTCAAAAGAAAATCCTTAAGGAGAGAAGTTGTCCCCTCCCCCGTCTTTTCTCACTCAACCACTGGGCAAATCTGCTAGATTTCTTACTTCCCTGCTGGAAGACCCTCAGCTGAGGTTATCCCAAGTGAAATTTCTCTGTGTATGTTTTTTTTTTACAGTATGTTCAACAATAATCTCCTCCTTTTTTTTTTTTTCTTACAGTCAATCATATTACTCTCTCCTTTACCCACTTTGGACTTGAAAGCAGTACAAGATGCACACACGACTTTCTAGAAGTTTTGGATGGCGATTACTATGATGCACCCCTCCGAGGTACTGCAGTGCATGCC